CCAAAATAGTAGCGTCCGTCTTTTTTTTTATAAATCTGGACTTTGAAAGTTTACTCCTAGTAGACAGAGGTGAATAGTATTTTTCGGGCAATTGATGGAAAGAACAAGAAACTTATGACAAACGTAAACAATTTCAAAAATAAAATAGGTATAGTAGGCTAATATAGTAATTTCCATATCATTATCAAAAATCTTGGTTTTAAAGTACCCCTCTTGTAGATAGATTGTGGTTACACTAATATTAGTATATATTAAAAATCGTGTAATAAAAAAAAACTGATGCAATTTTTGAAATTAAGTACAAAATTTTTTTGTACTGAACATTTTTTTTTTTTATGGGTATATTGTAATGAATTTGTGTAAAAATTAATTCCCTGTGCTGACCCCAGTGCAAAACTAGGTGGTCTATTTGACACAATAAACCTCATTTTTTTTTTTTAGAATAACATGTTTGCGAATTAGAGTGTTTTACATGCATGACAAAATAACACACCATCGGCATTTAAGTCTGTCTGTCTCTCATCATCTCATAATTGGATTTCTACACGCCATAACGATAATGTAACTCGAACTCGGAGTAGTGGTTTTTTGTTTCAAACTACATTATTATACATAATTTTATATTTTACCGAAATTACAAAGAGCAGATCATTTTTTTTTTGTCATGCCAACAACGCCACAATGCTAACCGTATGGTAAATGTGGAGAAAAAAGTCTACCTATGTCTGGGCCTATTGTAGAGTAACCAGGTTCTCGGTCGACGACCTAACCGCGTATTTTGCACGGGAAGAAAATATAATGATAATAATATTAAAATTAAATATTTTTAAAAAACGGCAGAAAAAAAAAATTCCTTCGCAAAGACATTTTACCGAACAGAATCCGTGCACATAATATTTGCTATTTTTGTTATTTTTTGCTCGCATAATAGGGGCAAACAGGTGGTAGTGGCAATTGGCATCATGTGCAAACGTTTCCAAAAAAAAAGTGTTATGAGATTGGGTATTTGTTTTTTTTTATTATTATTTATATTGGACGTGAAATTTCATGTGCACGACTGATTATTGCTTTAACACGGTCCCCCGACAAACAAACAAGAGAAAAAAATCATGTTCTGCTGATAAACGAAACCTAGGGAGAGGGGGGGAGCCCACCTGCTAAAAATGAGTATTTTTAAAAGAAATCGCTAGCAGTCTGCCTCCGGGGAAATCGGAAGTTGGCAGGAAAACGTTTCCTTCCGGACGCGATCAAAATGTAATTAAACGAATTGTGTGTGTGTGTTTTTTTTAGTAGCCTCGGGAAACAAAAAATGTGATATGACATAATATACTTAATTAAAAAAAGGGTCATCATTTGAATAAAAGCTAAAAAAAAAAAAAGGGTAGCTCGAACGAGGATAAGCCGTTGAGGGTTGAAGTCGAAAATGCTGTGGTGTTTGGGTGAAGGGAGATAAGTCCAAACTTGCTACTTTTGGGAACTTGCAAATGAAACTTTGAACATTTTTATGAAAAAAATGTTTTGGTCTAATTTATACGGCACAAAAACATACAAATTATTCAGCTTATTTTTTAACTATATTACTAATATCAAAGGACAATTTTAAAATTGATTTACTTTAAAAAAGTACAATGGAAATTAAAAACAAAATTTTTCGGAGTTATCCCTTTTTGTACATCGTTTGTACTAATCAATATCACAAATGCCAATTGATAAAAAAATCCAGTTATGTCAAGAGTAATTTTTTGCATAAAGGAATAAGTAACTTGACTCGTTTTGCACAACGGGGTTATTTTTTTTTTATTAAGGAAAATTCTTGACAATAAATGGGAAAACACACATTTTGTCCGTATCAAATAATTCTGATGCCACCACGAACCGAACAGTCAACAGGTATCCATCAACAGGTAGGTATTGCTTATCGATAACAACCCTATAATCGTATATTGTACTCTATTACTAAAAATATAATAATTGCAGTACTAAAAGCACAACCCTCGACAGATATTTTTTTTAACTAGTAATATAATTCTAATTTTAAACCTAATTCTATGAAACGATACAAATCAATGATTGAATTTTTTTTTATTTAATGTCCGACTGACGCACGTGTGAAAAACAGATATTATAGGAAAATAACATATCAGTTATTTCTATATTATAATATTTTGTGGTACTCACCCGGTGCGAATTTTCCAGAGGCGTTATATTACTATTTTTCTCGGTATACACGTCATGTGTGCCGACTGTCGGCCATATATAATATATATATAATAATAAATAATAAAAGAACAGCTCCACGCATTCCTAGCGAATTATATTTTGATTTCAGAGAGACGAGACGAACACAACAACCACAACAACACAACACATTCGGTCGTATATTATTATTATTATTATTATTTTATCCGGTGTATACAGTCAATGGTAGTGGGTACACACTGAATGCGAATAAAAGACATAATATATTATATGTTCTACGACATAATACTATACACCGTCTGTATAGGAAGAAGACTGAGGGAAAAAAAATCACATACACACAAAAGGAACGACGGCCGAGAGAAGGACCTTCTTCTGTCTACCGTGTGTGTACCTGTGGCATGCGTGCCGGCGTAACTGGTCGAAGGCACTATACTACTAGTCGGCAACAGCAACAGCAGCCTCTCACCGTAGTAAAAAATAATATTAAAAAAAAATATATATAATAATATACAATACCACCACCGGCAGCGGTGGTTGTAACGGGAAAACGGTTTCGCGCCATCGACCACACACACACACACGGGCTGATTACACGCTTGTGTCGCCATCTGTAGGCGAAGACCGGCAAAAGTGTACCCATAGAATATTGGAATAATTATACCGTGCACAAAATTATATTATTATCGTTCGAATCGGGCAAACCGCGTTATACAGGGTGTACAAGAGTAACTGAAGGGGCAACAAATCATTTACGCAACACACCGTCCCCGCCGACAGTTAGGCTAGGTCAAGTTTCACATGAACCCCCTCATGAGCAAAAATGGTTTTCGTTACAACATGAAAACATCAACAGGACGTTTTTTAATTCAGAATTAGTTTTTAAGTTAATATTTTAATCACATAAATGAATAAATCGTCGCTTAATTAATAAGGTTTCAAAGGTTTTTAATAGCTCCAATTACAATTGATGACCATGTTATAAATTATTCGATTGGCGCATTATCTATTGACCTTATCATAATTAATTTATGTTTGTCAGCCAGTCGATTACCCGCAAAATTTTGAATTGCCAACTCAATTTGATCAAAATGTGAGATAGGCGGCGAAATAAAAATATTAAAAACCGTCGGTGGGTCACAAAGTGTTTTTTCTCAATTTTTAATGAAAATATAGTGAATTTTTTTAATTTATGGTCAAATAAAAAAAAACAGTTATAAAATGACCTATTGGTTGCATACAGTTTTCTTATTGAGTTTTCCTTATTAGTTTGTCCTTTCTTATCACAGATTGGCGGTCCCTTATCACTATCCTGATGACACCACTTTTACCAAAGACAACTTTTCCCAATGACCAGTTTCTCATCGAGTCTTTTTAACTTTTAAAAAAAAAAAACATTACTTAAACTAAATTTTAAACCTGTAACCTCCGCTTAAAGAGTAGCCTGCAAACCTAGAATATTTCACTCGGAGACCTGCCGTTCTTATCAATACTAATTCCGACCGCTGATAAGAAACTCGTCATGGACATTTGTAACTTATGCAATTTGGTAAAAGTGGTAACAACCCTTGGTACGAGTACCGGATATCCTGTCGAGTTGTACCTATCACTTTACTATTGTGCTTTATTTTCGATAAACAATAACGTTAATACCCGAACTTTCGACACGAGCAAAATATTCCCAAACGTCTATTACATGGTATATAGTATTATATGCCATTCAATTCAGATACATCCTGTACAGTATTATAACTGGTCACGGTTCCGCTCGAATTAATCATCGTTGCCGACCGTTTAACTTGTGGCCGACACACAACAAACACATTAACCGAATTATCAATTAGCCGGCAGAACCTATACACGGTCCATCGAATTTTAAATACGCTTCGACAATATCAATCGCACGTTATTATTATTATAAAATATAAAACACAAACACAGACGTCTGCTGTTATTCTACCGTTAAGAAAAAGTAAAATTGCAATTAAAAAGCGTACGATTCCCATTGTTTACCGTTTGTCAATTGCGGACTCGACGTGCCGAATAAATTCGGGTGAAAACAACAAATCGTTCTCGGAATACAAAAACAAATAAAAAGTATACAGAAAATTGACGCATATGAACTTCTATTTTTTCTTCGAGAAGAATCATATTGTGTATATTATTTAAGTCATGAGTATGACGTGTTACAACTCCTAATATTGACCAAACAATTTACAAGATCTAAGTGGTTCTTCTTGTTGAAAGGAGCTAGTAAATACAATTGAAATTTAGTTTTTTCAATTTAATCAATTTCTATTGAAATGTGCGAACAAAATCTGATTCAAGTCATATTTTAATTTTGTTGATCGACTATAATCGATTAAACTTGATTCGTGAGAACGCGCGCCTATAACGATTGAATTGATTAAAAAAAAATCTAGAAAACGATTAAACAATATGTGTAAACAAATCGAGTAAATACACAAGTCATGCACAGTGAATGTTATATTGAACTTTTCAACTATTATTATATTTGCATACGCTCAAGTCTTAAGGTTAACTATTTCTACTAGGAGTACATTCTAACTGTTTTAACCATACTCTGAAACGCATAATCCGACTGAAAACAAATAAGGTGGAAATTGCCTATACAATGCGCCTTACTACATGCCAGTATGTAGAGGTCGTCCCCAGTACCATTGATCTTTAAATATATTATAATATACATAAATTAAAAAATATCTCAAATCGTTTCAAATTGAATCAATTATATAATACAAAGAACATTTGTTTTGTAGGACAAAAAAAAAAGTACATACCTGAGCGACGTTTTCGAAATGTTCATGACTTTTCTGATACACGCGTGCTTTTTGTAGCGTTCGTCCGATTCCGGTGTTTTTTCTCAAAAACACTTCACCGTGATTGGACAACCAGTCGAGCACCTAAAACGCAAATGTTATCATATTATTATTTATTATTTATTATTTATTATTATGACAATAACCAGCAACCCCGACAGGCAACAGCAACAACACATCAAACTTGACTTATTACGAAGCCTCTCTTATAGTTAAGTGGATTTGGACAGTAATTTGGTTTGGACTGTGCTTAGTTTTTTTTTTTTTAAATTATCTTTTTAATTATTATCATGTAGGTATTTACTGACTAAATTTAAATTTATAATTACTTATGTAATAACGTATAAAATGTATTTTCACGTCCTATGTGAAATATTTCATTTTCTTTTGTTTTAGGCGTAATATTGGCAATTTAACATACCCGATACTTAATCAAGACACTAAAACGACCGCGAATAAAAAAAAATGACATCTGTTCTCTCATACAAAAAGCCATAGAAGTTATACTTTTTTTATAGCAAAAATAATTGGAGTTTTATGATAAATTTTAAAGTGTAAACTTTTAACAAGTTCACAAAATATATGTTTTTTTTTAATAATTTTACGTACTTGTTTGACGTCTTCTTGGAATAATCGCAACGCTAATTTTTGATGAAGTCTGATTTTCTTGGAGTGCCAACAGTGTTCTAAGCTGCGATGATGGTTTAGGATTTGATGTATGACGGCTAACACATGGCTAGCGCCTTCCGAATAATCGGCGGCGGCTTGTTGCCGATTTGGCAATTTGTTTGTATTTGTCGAAGAATCCGACCCACTCTCCGACTAACATATGAAAACGGAATTTAATTTTAATAATATAACAAATATAATTTTTACATAATATATTTTTAATACTGAGGCAAATTATTAATTACTACACTAAAAGCATAATATTATCTTATAACTAATAAAGATACATTTTTTTGTTCGTCATGCGTGTTAAAAAAAGCTTACATGTTTATGATGCTGTTCGGCGACTGGTGTCGAGTCGCTTTGATTACACACCTGAACCAAATGGTCCAATTGATAGAGCAGCTTCTTGCTCGTGCTATGAACCTAACCCAAACCGAGAAAAAAAAAATAACCCAACATGCATTTTAGAGTTATAGAGAATAATAATAGCATCATGACATTAATAATAGTAACAATAATAATAATAATAATTATAGTAGTAAACTTTCCGCAAGACCATTAACCGCAATGTATTTTTTTAAAAATTCTCTCGAAGGAATAACCCAAAACCAAAGCATAAGAGTGCTGCCGCGACGTAAGCCGTCCGGATTATAATGCTGTTAGGCCGTCTAATTCGATGATTTTAGAAAAAAATACAATAGGACATACATTTTTCGGTAAACAATCGCTGTAATGTATAAATGGCACATTGCTCGGAGGAGTCGGATAACACTCGCAGACTTGTACTAAGGTATCCAGGCCGTTCAATAGGCTTTGATACGCGTTATACACCTATATATATATAGTGGGTCTCGACAATGTAAATACAAATAAAGGACATAAACGAAAAATTATTGTTTAATTAAATATAAAAAAACATTACCTCGGTATAAGCTTGGCACATGAGTTCGTAGAGATTTTGATGTTGGTGAATGGAATTTTCCAACACTAGTATTTCGTTGGGTATGGTAACTTTCTCTATGGCTTCGCCCCAGCCAGGCACGTTTTCAACGTACTAAAAAAAATGTGAGCACACGCGTGAGTAAAAACAAGCGCGCTAAGAAAATTTCAACCTGTTCGTACACACCTGCTGTGCTTTGTGGTGGAATAGCACCGACAACGCTAACACGGACGTTCTTTCGTCCAAACCCGCGGCAAACTGCTTCCACGTTCTGTCCAGTCGCTGAGCTACGGTTCTTATGTGATTGGACGCGTAATGACCCGATTCGATCATGCGTTGTGCAACGGCTACAATGCGGTTGATATTGACGTAGACATTCTAAATGGTTAACAAAAAAGTTCATCAAGGATGCACCAAACAAATTTGACAGAGGGAATAAGCTGATAAGAGATAAGGGTAAACACTTATTTATTTACTTAGTAAAAAGTAACGTCCAAAAAGGTTGAGTACATAATATCGTAATTATTACATATGTATATCAAATTAATGAAGTTAGAAAAACAAAAAAAAACTAACACTAGAAAGATCAAAAAAAATAAATTATTATTACACATAAAAGGGGTGAGTAATAATAAATTTAATGAAATGTTACAATATATCTAATTTTCGAGAACAATAAAATCCACTGACAGCCTATTACAGTAGACTTATTGGCAGAAAAATTCTGTAAATAGAATTATTAAAACTGTGAAGAGTTCGATGGGAGATATACTGAGGAACGTTAAAAAAGAAACAAGAAATGTAACCATTAGGAAATGTAGACATAAAAGCAACATTAGCATAATTAAGTAATTAGATGTTAAAGATTCTAAAGCAAGGTTGGCCTTAATGGTAGGTTAGCTGCTGTATTTTAACCAAAAATTAAGTAAAGGTATAATGAGTGGCTTAAATTTGTTAAGCCTACTTTTACATCCGATATAATAATGAACAATCCTTGTTTGAACTTTCTCGATGGATTTGACTAAGCCGATTCAAGAGACGGGTCCCAAATAAAAAATTATTATATTCGAGGGTTGGTCTGATTAACGAGCAGCAGAGGATTAAAATAACAAAGTTTGTTATTAAGGGTTTTAGCACTTTAGAAACAGGATCAAGTACTTTAGAAACTTGCTCTATACTCTGTTCAAAATAAGAAGCGAGTATAAACAGACATTGAATAAAATGTGAATGACTGAGTCAAGTAGTTAATTTTCTTCTTGAAAAGAAAAAATGGAATTATTAGTTATCCCTATCAGTCTTTTAGTCTTATCAGTAATCTCTCATCAGCGGGGCCCAAAAGTTTAGGCATTTGTATGTTTTTACTGAATTGTCCAAAAAAATAGCTAGGTACGCTATGTAATTTGAATAACATTTTAAAGAATCAGTATTCAAACATTTATTTTGCATACAAATGATATTTTTTGCACATTTTATCAGTAATCTGTTATCGGTTACCATCGAACTCATTGTAAAATGGTTGTGTTCTTCTTGTATGTCTTTGGCCAGTTGATACGAATGTCCAATTTCGACGTAGCTCATTAGGAACACATCTCGATTATGGCAAATCCAATCGAACATCTAAAAACGACAAACGATCAGCTGATGAAAATATAATATTCCGACAATAATTTACTAGAGTAGAAATCTACCTTTTCGCAGTCTTGTTCAAACAGTCTCAGTTGAAAACACTGGTCCAATTTGAGTTTTTTAATTTGCCACAATTGCAAGACGTGTTTGTGCGTTGTCCTGATGGTGTCCAATTGTTGGAGTATTTGAGGCACAGACGCCTGCAAATCCGGGTTACTGACACCGTTGCTGGCTTCGCTATCCCGTCCAGAGTAACCCGAATCATAACCACTATTGTTATCGCCGGACAACCTGAGGCAAATGAATAATGTATTATTATTATTATTATTATTATTAACAGGGAGATTGGTATGTATGATATTGTCGTAAGTCATAAGATAACATAAGAGTAATCAGCTAACCGATACCATATGTAAAAGTAATGTTACGTGGAAACTCCCTATATTTTCTCATTGTTGTTACCTCTGTAAAAGCTGTTGACCGGCCAAGTCCATGTCTTCGACGGGAGTCTTGAGTACTTTCTTTTTCATGTCGGTATGAAAGTCTAGAGCTAGTTTGGCACCGGCGATGTCGTCCCTACAGTCATTGCGGCTTAGGTCTTCTTGCAGGTCATCCAAACGATCCAACAAGTCGGCCGCTTGCCACATGAATTCTTCGATACTCTAAACGATAACACGATAATTATTACTGAAATTGTATACAAAAATAAAGTGTAGGATTTCGAAATACTCACCAGTCGAATATCGATCCACTGGGCGTGATCATAATACAGAGATCCGTCGAGGTCTGACGTCAGTTGCGTCGAGTCTATAAACTTGGACAAGCCTTCTAAATTTAACATCGTTGTCTGAAGAAAAAAAAAATGTGTGATAGTCTACGGGCTTAAAAGTCAAAATATTATATTAATTGTTTACGCACTTCGAATTTGTATTTATGACTAGCCATGCTGGTGCGCTGTTTGTGCCAAAAATTGTCAGGCTTGACGACGTACACAGCATACACGTGATTGCCGTTGCCTCCGGCACACCAATCTTGGAGGGCTTTCAAGATTGGCTTAACGGACGACCAACCTGATCCGCCTCGCATGTCAATCACAGCCACCAGTCCTGATTCTTTGACTTCACACCTACAAAAAAAAAAATTACAAAGATGCGTTACATATTTTTCCAACGACAAAGATATTAACTCAAATAGAAGTAAAATTCCAATAAAAAATCACTAGTCCCAAAATCTAAGTTTATTTTAACTACATACCGGCCAACCTATTTTAGGTTAAATTTAATTGGGTTGGGTAGGTAAGGTCAGCTTAGGTTAGGTTATGTAACGATTTACTTAATTATCAAATACATTTTTAAAAATGAGTTATTTCAAGTACATTTTTACTGGCCATTTCATAAATTACATACATTTTTTTCGATTTGAACATTATCCAAACAGGATAGTATCATTAATTTGTTAACTGGCTAATATAATATGAAAAAAAACGGGACATTCTGTGCAAATTGTCTTATTGTTATTCAAATGATGTTCGTAGGAGAGAAAAAAAAAGAGGAAAGGAATTCATTTTTTATTTATTTTTTAATACATCCCACGCAATATTAATCTGAATAATTCATAAAGGCCTGCGTTTCTAATGGAAAGTATGTAGGGATGTTTTTTTTTTTTAAACAGTGTAATTCTGACTTGGAACTAAGATGAAATGATTTGAATAGAAAACAAATCCCTCATGGTCAGTACACAATTTATACGGGATTTAAGTGCACGTTCGCTTCGGTAATAGGTTTTATGGCGAAAGACGGTTTTCTAAAGGTCTTTTTCTAGGTAAGTATATAATATTCTTTTTACTTTATAAAAATCCAACCCATGTTTGTCGGTTACTACCGTATTAAGTAAAAACAGTTAATGAATTTAGTAATAACGTTGACAGAATAGAAAAAAAGTGATCAAACAGTGGCAACATAATTTTCGTTGACTTCATAATTTTATTGTTAATAAAAATACCTTAAAATCAAATACAAATTGTATTTGAACCCACAATTAATGTTTTTATTTTTTTTCTTAAAAGAAAAACTAAAATTATTATATATAAAATTGTATTAATCTACTCTTTTAAAATTTGTACTGAATTTTTTTTAATTAAAAGTTAAAAAAAATATTTTAAAATTTGGATAGTTTGCCTAATCGTGTAATTGATTCAAATGGGCAACAGGTCTCAGAAAAATATTTTTATTATTCAAGAAAAGCTATCTCCCAAGACTGGTTTGACTTGCCGAAAAAAATGGCGCAAGGTGTAAGTTGTGGTTTCTCTTGAGGAACATATTTTTTAAAGGTTTTATTTGAAGGCCTATTAAGGAATCTTTATTTATACTTATAAAAGGTAAAAGAAAAACCACTCACGGCGGTATGGAACCGAAGTACTGCAACAACCGTCTGTAGTCTTCCTGTTTCGCCCGTTCTCTCCTAGGCGTCGAAGGGAAGGTCACTATGGGAGCGCCTCGCTTGTCCCGGCCTCCCGTCAGGAAGGCTATCTTTTCCTGGAGGAGCCCCATCACTTCCAAAGCCCTCACGCTGTCCATGGCCGACCTGAAAAGAAAAACAAAGATAAAATTAATTTTTCATCCGTGGTACCGTTGGTCACCAATGTAGACTCTACTATTCATCGATTAACAGCTTTATTAAATTAATATTCGATTGAAATCAATCTTTTCCTAATTGAAGGAAAGACATTGGTCCATGAGCATATCGTATTATCAGTGGTTTTTCTATTTCTTATAAATAATCTCTTATCACTAGCAACAGCTACAGCAACGGATATCAAAAAACAATATGTTTATGTTAAAATAGGAAAATAAATTCCTATAAGGCAAGTTACATTATTGGGATAATAGGAAACCCGTCTTCTTTCTCTCGTCGTTTCTATTGACAACTCTTTCGAGGTCAATCATAAAATAGGTCCATATGTAGCACAATGGATGAGCGTTATTATAGAGAGAAAAAATTGATCGGACGATGAAAACGAAACCGTTTTGGATATAATATATTTTATAATACAAAATTATAGTAAAAAGATTTCACTGGGAAATTATTATTATTATCAAGGTCATTTTTCGTTTGTTGCTTCATCGACGGCCATGATTTATACTCAAGTACAAAATAAACGTCTCAGTCCCTAGTCATGTAGGTTATATTTATTACTTATTACAACATATTAAAAAGAAGCCTAATTATAAAAAAAATACGTCAAAACTTTTTATCAATATATTATTATTTTAGACGCATAAAACACCACAGCCCAGAAAAACAATAATTAACTATAATAACTTCCGGCCGGGTTATGACTGTCAACCATGATAACAGTCTAAATTATGAAGTGCTATTAATATTTGTATGAGATTATTGTTGGCCAACACTCACTCAGTGCGACATTAAAAAATACACACGGGTATATATTTTGTCTCTTCAAAAGCCATTTTATATGATAACAGCAAATACAGATAAAATAATTTTCATTTGATTGATAATAAATACAACGAAAAAAAATCACCTCTAAAGGCTTTGGACTGGGAAATTAATGTCATAAAAATCTTAAAAGAACAATTTACAAAATCTCCTATATAATAAATACACACTGCAATTTATACTGAGGCTATGCATTATAATTTGGGTAAGGTTTCTCGACGTTATATTCTACAAAATATGTACCTTTATAATATGTATAAAAGTTTATTTTTGCATAAAAATGCATACTTGAACGTTAGTGAACATTACATACATAACGGCATATTTATAGGAATATTTCTTTTACTCTAACAATAAAAACTAAAAAGGCAATTTTAAAAAATATATATATAGACATATATAAAATATATTCAAACTAATAGTAAAATGTACTACACCAACATTTTAGTAACCATAATTATTTGCTACTTGTTCTTCTATGATCAAATATGATAATTGACTATAGTATTTATCATTAAAAAAAATGTATAAATTATGATTTACCGAGGAGAAAATTAATTATTTGTATAATAATTGTTAAAAACATGACATTTTTTTTTTGTAAATGCGTATTTTGGTAAAGGATTAAAGAGCGTTTTTTCTTACATTTTAACTGCATAAAAATATCTTATTTTAAACTTTATTAGGACATACAAATTCACAAAGTATTCTGTGTCGTAACAATGCAACCCACAGTTATTGTGGGCAAATTATTTGATCTCAAAATTACAAGTACTCCATTTTTTTTTAATTGACGACTTTCGAGTTCTAGTTGTAGTCTATTGTATTTAATCGTACACATTTGTTGCAATATTAAACCAACTATTATTATTGTTGCCTTTCGTTAAGTAGTATTACATTTAGGATTCACTGGTCGTGATGGGAAGACTATTGTTCAAATTGAAGAACACAAATGATGAGCATTATTATTTAGGGTAACCGTTATATACAAATACATATTGTAATAGAAAAATAAAAATAATCGTGATTTGATGTTTCTTTCTAATCGCAATGGCCTTTTGGATCTAACACACGCGACGGTACCAAAATTACCATATATTATAATGTTATAGCCGTAATACAAATCATAGCTCGGTCTCGATTTTTGGCAAGTTCAACGACTAAAAGACAAACCACACACACACACACACAATCGATAATGTCTATTAAAAAACCATACCGTGCGGACAGTGGCCATTTTATCCACACATTATACATGCACAGAGCCAATATAAACCTATTGGCTATTTTTTCATGTCCTAGGGGGCTAAAGGTTATGTTTACATTTTTTTTTCTTAACTTTTTATACATTTAGATTTTATCCTATATATTCTATTAGATTCCATGCTAATAATAAATAATTTTTTATCGGAGCAGGGCTTCAGTTTTAATGTTCTGACCTGACATTAAAACTGAAGGTTTTTTTTTAACCAATTTGCAGTATTTTACAACGATTGTTGACAATGTTTTAGAGTAGAAAAACAAAAATAATATCCAATAATTGATGGGCGTTACTACAGTAGCGACTGACTCAGCGAAACTAGTGGAAAACCGGAACTTTCACAAGTTAAAACTTATATACCTATTATATTAAGTAAAAATTTCAACAGTCAGACGCGGTAAATCAATACTACTTGGAACGGGCAGGTTGAAAATCCTTTTCCGTTTTCTATTCTTTGGGTTACCCTCTGTAATTATGATAAGTAAACGTACAATAGGTATTACAATGATTGCAGTGTACTCGGAAACAAACAAAAACGGTTTTATATTGGAAAAATATGTACTTAGTACATGGTACTCAGTATGGATGTTGAAAAGAAAAAACAATTTTCCTATGTCAATATACTAGGAAACAAATATACAGGATGATTCATTAGGGATAACACTAATTTTCTCTTAAATGAATTGAAATTTTGAAGTTTTCTTATTTAAAAAATGTTTGTTATTTTACAATAAAATATAGCTCTGCCAACTTAAAGAACTTAAATGATAACCAGTACATTTAATTATCATTTTTAATTTTCTGAAAATGTCAACTAGTATAAGATAAACATGTTTTTTATATAGTTACTTTTCAAGTTGATTGAGTTAAAAATGCTAAATTGACTATCGGTCAGTCAAAAATGTTAGTAAATTATTGTAAATTTAATAGATTAATAAAATATGTACATTTTAAAACAGTTAAAATCTTATTTTTACTAAAACTAGACGTGACTGGTTATGATAGCGCAACCATAGGAATATATTATTTTATTATATAACAGCAAAGCTGTAACGCGTATCTTGTATCTGTAACTAGACACTAAAATAATGTTCCCTGGTCTCTTCACATTGTTTATCAGTATTATAATTTTAGTTGGATGTTAACCCTGTATAATATATAGATCATATATTATGTATAACTAAGTATTTAATGTAAAGAGTTATTTTAATAATTAGTAAAATATTAAATAAAAACGAAAAATATCAAACTTTAAAATATAAAATTATAAAAAAAAAAATACAAATACATCAACAACCCAATTTAAAAACACCACAACTTTGAACTGATTAAGTATTTAACAATTTTAGAGGAATTAAAGTAATTTACACTTAAATAACAACACCAAACAATAATAATCAAATTCACTACCTAACCCTCAAACCAAACCTGAGCATTTTTTTTAATAACAAATAATTATTAGAAATATATTTTAATTTAAATTTTCAAATAATCATTTACATACATCTCTTTTTATTACAATTTTTTACTGTATTTCAAAATTAATTAACATAAAATTCAACAATTTGTTTTAATCACTTAAAGTATTTTTAGTTTTCACATTATAGTTTGTTTTAAACCTATTTTTTTAAGCACTATGATGATTTATTTTAAATAGGACTAATTCTGATGGTTTGAATATCTGTAATTCTTTTTTTTATTAAATCTAAGTAAAGCACAAACAACAAACTCCGATTCCTTTTTATTTCAAACAAATAAAATTTAGTAAAAAAATCATTACAATTCCATATTTTAGTAGGATTTTACAGAATCTGAAATCATGGCAATAATATTTAATTTTTTTAGAATCATAGCAGCCTATAGAAATACGTCACGTTTTATTTTTTTTAAAATCTTATTACAAAAATTTGACTTTAAACTGGGAAAGTAGTCTTTTGTTTGAGACGATGTCAAAAATACATGTTGAAAATCAGTTTACAAAGAATATTATATTATTTTTTGGAGAACAGCCAAAATACGACTCATTAGTGAAAGTGTACATAAGCATATGGTACGGGTATTAATAATATTATAATGTATTAGCCACAGGGCAATAATGTATTAATACTAATTAATAATAATATAACGTGTACAAGTATACAACGTACAACACAGTATTATTATATACTAATATAATCCAGGCAAAATTCATTATTTCTCATTGTTTGTTTTGGCTTAAGACCATTTTATCAGTGTTATTAGGAAACGTAAACAATACCGTAAAACTGTGTACGCGGTTTAATTATAAGATGCTAAAATAAAAGCGATAATTAAAATATGATACTTTTACAAATCTAAACAATTACAATACACGGTAGTCACTCAGTTGAAATTTCAAAATTGATCCAAATAGTGGCGCATGCAGTATTTTTTAAAACTGTGAGTCACCAACCTCACAAGATACCATTAAAAAATAAGATCTATTCGAAATAGATCTCAACACAACATTTGTGTACACTATTTGGCACCCAAATAAAAAATCAACAAAATTAATTTTTCCTACCAAGTTTCAAATGAGACATTTACAATGTATAGGGTTATGTGGTATTCATTATTTTGTTTTGTTTTTTAAATGATGCTTACAACTTTTGAGGTGATTTGAAAAACGCCTATGAAAATCTTTGGGTACAATAGTTCTCCGGACGGCCATATTAACATTCATAAATTTTTTTAGTTCCAATAATTTTTCTTTTTTAAGTGTTAACCAAACATACTTTAAAAGATACATATTTCACTAAAAATAGAAAGTCTTAAAACGGAACAAAATAAATTTAAGAAAAACACACATTTTTAACACACGTTCTTAAACTACAATATAATGGTA